AGCGGGATTAGACTCATGACAATGCAACATGTGAGCTTGACATGTTAACCATTCATTATAACAAGAATATGTTTGCTTCATCGACAATCCCTCCAAATAATGTGATATGGGATAAGGCCTGGCCTTCCTTGAAATTGACATCTGTCCTGTGACTCAAAGGCACTTGTGACAAAGTGGCCGAGTGGTTGATGTGTCAAGCTCAGGTGTGGCACTGTCACGGTTCTAAATCCGCTGGTAGTGTCGATAAGACCTAGGCGAGGTAGAAACTGCAATCCACTTTTGCCTGGATAAGAACAATTTTGGGGAAAGCAAGACTCTGTGAAATTCAATGGAAACGTCAGCTCAACTCATATCATTGTGGCAAAATTCTACTACCAGTCCTTCATCACCTCAAATGAAATAGGATAAATATATTTCATATAATCTGAACGTCATATTAAAACCAAACGACTGCACAAAGAGAGGAATCAGCCTTCATATTCAGTGATATCGACCTACAAATCTTTGTATCATGCAATTTCATACGAAATGGAAATCTCTGCAACGCTGTTGCATCAAGGGCTTCGTCAAAGCCCATTCATTAGGACTGGATCGTTATATCCATAGCGCAATAAGCCTCTGGGTGGTGGCATCTGCTGGTATGTTATTCTCGTGCCGTCAAAGCACCACATTTTCCTGATTCTAAAGAGTTGCCTTGCTCTATATAATTGGCTTCAGAAGGCCCCGAAGCTCAATCCTCCGGCAAACAGAAGGCCATCAACAAACCAGATCACCCAACCGGCTCTTCTTCGGGACGAGGGTCAGTTTGCCTCTTCTCCATACGTGGCTTTTCGCTGATCGGAACCACGTCATCTCAAAGGCGATTAGACCATGTGTGTCGGAGGGCCGCACTCACCCGGCGTCAAACCCAGACAAAGTCCTCTAGCGATCGTGTCGCATAGTTTGCGCCAATGTTGGTGAAATCTCTTTTGCTTCGCAGTATCAAATGCATTTCTTACAGACCAATATCGGCCTCACGTTGGGTCTTTGCATTGTGTCTTTATGCATTGTCGTGAAGTGGGGCCCCCTCCACGTGGCTGCACAAGGCATCACAACGTGGTCTCTTCCATCCTCTCCTGCACACTACCAACTGCTTCTGCATTTATACTATTTAATTCTTCTAACCGGACTCTTCTTTAGATCAGTATGTCTTCTATCTTTAACATTTTGTCTTTAGTCCGAATAGGTTCAATTACGTTCTGTACATGTTGTAATTTGATTGACTAACTACTCGTCATTGTAAGTAACTCATCCTTTTTGTGCTATTACTTAGAAGTCAAATATTGATTTCATGTGCCCGGTGAGAACATATAAACGTATATATATTTCGTGAATACAGCCGCATCCTTTCTGGTGTAAAACTGATATGGGCATGATGATAACGAAATTTTCATAGTACAGCGTAAAGCAAAGCACCTATGCAACGAAGTAGGCGGATGGTGTCTTCAATTATGGCAGCATGTTGGTAAAGCAAGCTTGCTGGTTGTCATGATATTTTTTCCATTTTTTTCCATTTTAAACCAATTCCTATCCTTGCCCCTCGTTTGAAGTCCACGAACTTTGCGAGTGCGTTCATTTTGGTTAGTATAAAGTATGGAAAATTCGCCCATCTCTTAGGCAAGTCCTCTTCAGGTAACTATGACTACGCCTGTCTGTGAGTGATGAACAATGTAGGTTTGGATGATGATGGATGAACTGTATATTGGAGGACTCTTATCTTGCGAGGGACGAGTATATTTCTTAGCTGAGTGGAGTCAGTACGACGTATTCTTATGCGCAAGTTCAAGTGTTGCCTATTTTCCATTCAATCGAATTTGCCAGAATGCTCTCTTTCTAAGTTCAATACGACTCTGAGTTATTATAGTATCATCCGTTTTAGGCGCTTGAAGAGGTTATCTTTTCATCTAAAGACAACAAGACTCACCTATTTTGTCATCATTCGAACGAAACAACAGTGAAATCTAGGCAGAGAGATGTTGTGCCTGCGTAGATAAACTAGCAAGGGCCTGTGGGGATGAGCATCAGGGCTAGGGTAGAATTAACTGCTTGATGATACAGATTGGGGTGTGCCAGAAACGATTCTTGATCCGATCATTAAATGCGCTGCCTGCATTGTGATGAGGAGGCCTTGCAAATGAGTTGATTGCATTGAGCCTTGCCTCCCAAAAGGCTGGGTTTTCTAGACGATGTCAGAACTTTGGTATGGTACGCATTAGCTAAAATTTTAAGAGGCAAGGCAAAATAAAATCCATTTAAATGGATTTTTGAAGATATGAAGACCAAGATGGTGTGGCCTTTTGTGTGGTCGCAGTCTCCTTTCGTTGAATAAAAGTTGT